CCTCCAGAGTGACATGGTCTGGGGGTGCACTCACACGGCAGCCATCCTCATGGGGTGGGCCCTCCTCCAGAGTGACATGGTCTGGGGGTGTACTTGCGTGGCGGCCATCCTCACGGGGTGGGCGCCCCTCAAGAGTGACGTGGTCTGGGGGTATACTTGTGCGGCGGCCATCCTCATGGGGTAGGCCCCCCTCCACAGGGACCGAACAGTGCTCCGGGGGCTGGCGCCTGTCGTTACTCTTGGTAATGTTGTGCCATTTTTCAGCCATAATAAGAGCCACTTAAACTGGAACTCTTGTCTGAATCCTCTGTGCTCCTACAGCGCTCCCACCTGATGTTTCAATGATTCTTAGGCTAGTCAGGAAGCCCCTGTGATACTTCTATTATTTTATGCTAAGAAACCGTGCCAGAGCCCATGCAGTTGACAGGGACCACAAAAGACGTGTTCGTCTGAAGACTGGAGAAAGCCGGCACGCCATGCAAAAGACAGCCTTCGGAGGCGAGTTCACAGAGCCCAGTGCGAGCGAGTGGCGAGGTGACGCAGCTTTCAGCAGTGAGCAAGGGCAACAGAGGATCGCTTTGAAATGTAGTTTTCTGCTGCTCTCAAGGTTCATTTCATTTCTAGAAAAAAAATCCCATAAGGGAGTTTTTGTAAATCGAAATATCAGTAATTTCATTGGAAAAAAAAGTAGCTATTCTCAAGCCTCAAAATGGACAGCTATGTGTAGTGAAACCTCCCACAGCTCGGACGTGATCCCCCTTGTTTCCGTGGAGGCCGCCAGCTACCCTGACACATCCCAAAAGATGTTTCCAGCACAGGTGACCCACGCCCTCCGCTCCGGCAGCCGCTGTGCTTGCCAGGGGCACATAAGCTGCACTCACGGCAGACACACCGCCCGGATTTGGGTAACTCAACCAGGGACACAAAAACTCATAGGGAGGAGTGAGTTGGGAGTGTCCGTGGGAGGCAGCACGTGACAGCAGTGAGCCATGGGGACCTGAGAGAGGAGGAGGCTTCCTGAGAATCGCTGGCGATCAGCACCTGGGAGCCCACTTTGTCGGGGGACCCTGATCTGTGCCCCCAGAGCCAGTCCACTGCCTGGACTGGTTGTGGAGAAATGCCATTATCCCACTGGCTGGGCTGGGGTGTGGGGTTGCAGGGCAGAAGGAGCAAGGGACAGGAGTGTGGATCGCGGTTCAGATGGTGCCCCTGGGGCCCAAGCTGGAAAGGGCAGGATGAGGAGCCAGGGGCAGGGTGGGCGCGGGGCCTGGCAGTGGATGGAGAGCTGGAGTGCCGAGCCTGCTGGGCCGGGGCAGAGCTGCCTTAGGTCCCTGTGTACAGGGAGGCTGTGAGCAGCCGAGCAAGGGAGCTTTGAGAAGACAGTGATGGGAGTGGGGCAAGCACAGGCAGCCCTTTCTGAAGAAGAGGACAGAGTCTGGGAGGCTGCAGCGGGAAGATGCAGGACCAGAGCAGTGGGGCCGCTGGGAAGCAGGGGTCGCGGTGAGCACAGGGCAGCCCCCGGAGGGTGGCCACGGCAGCATGGAAGAAGGTGGGGAGCCGGCGCCTCCTCACCCAGGAGTGACTGGAGAGCGGACGGGGGCAAGGCCGGCAGGAGTAGAAGCCAGGCAGTGACTTGGACCTGGACCTGAGGGGAGGACGGAGCAGCAGCCCAGGGAAAGGCTGCACCTGCAGTCAGGGAGGCCACGGGAGAAGGGGTGGCCTGGGGCAGCCTCAGGGCGCTGGGGGACGTGCTGAGAGACGGGAGATAGGGGGCTTCCAGGGAGGAGGGGTGACAGAGTGGCTGGGGCTGGGAGGACTCACTTTTCATGGAACTCCCTGGGTGAGCTGGGTGCTCAAGGTGGGTGTCTTGGCCTGGACAAGGCCCGCTTGCCCTGGCGTTAATGGCAGGGGGCAGGGGTACCTCTTCTCAGAGGGCTCTGGGGACATTCAGGTTGGAGGGGGAAGGACTTGATCTCAAGTCAGCCAGAGGACAGGTTTGTTTTCATGGAATCTGGTGGTTTTCTTGTTTTGCCATATTTGAACCCTGAACTTAAACATCGTGGAGTGGTGGCAGAAACTTTGTCAGAAAACCGGCTATTCGTGGGGAAAGAACTGAAACCCTGACCCCAGCTTCACACCACGCATGATTAGTTCAGATGTCATAGACCTGCGCATAGATGCGGAACTGATCAAACTTCTGGAAGGAGACCTAGTAGAAACTTTCCCAACCTTGATGGGGAATGGGAGGCAAGATTTCTTAGGTCGCCAGAATCATCGACTAGATACCAAAAACCCAAAACGGGATATTTCCGCAAACCGAAACACTTCTGCCTTTGAAAGGCACCATTAAGAAAATTAAAAGGCAAGCTACTGAATGGAAGGAAATATTCACAATGCATATATCTAACACACCACTTGTATCCAAAATGTAGAGCCCGCTCCTATAACTCAATAGTAAAAAGACAAGCCGCCCACTTAAAAATATGGGCAAAAGGTTTGAACAGGTACCTCACAAAAAAAGGCATGGGGATGGCCAGTAAGCATGGAAAAAATGCTCAGCATCGCTGGGCATCAGGTAAATGCAAATCAAAACCATGGCAGGCAGCCCCTTCATCCCTGTGGGGATGGCCGGAGTTACACAGGCCGGGTGCTGGAGCAGATGCGGTGTCCCTGGACCTCTGCGTGCTGCCTGTTGGAATCCGAATCATACCTGGGGAAACAGGCAGGCAGTTTCCTGCAAAGACACATACCCACCAACCCTGTGACCCAGCGATGCCCCTTCTCCGTATTTGCCCAAGACATATGAAAGCAAGCAACACAACGAGTCGCCTTCTTACAGTCACGGTCACCAAAGAATGGAAACAGCCAAGCTCCCATCAACGGGAACGGCCGTGCAAACTGGGGCCCCTGCACGCACTGGAATGCTGCTCCGCAGTGACAAGGAACGGACCACTGGCGCCTGCAGCAGCTTGGGGGAGCCCCAGAGGCGTGGTGCCTAGACAAAGAGGCACCCCCATGGTTCCACTGATGAGAAATTCAGAGTCAGCAAAGCGAATCGACTGTGAGAGAAAGCAGACCAGGGCTGGGAGGCTGCAGAGATGGGTGGTGCTGTGGCTTCATCAGGGCGTGGACTCCGAGGGTGTTTATGTGCATCAGCGTGTCCAGCTTTAAGACTGTTGTGACGAGGTGGCACTTTCCTGTGTAGCTGCCACAAACCACACGTGGCTCCCAAGCACTTGAAACGTGGCTGGGTCTGCCAGGACATGCCGTTGATGCAGAGTGTGGGATTTCAGACACTCGGTCTGAAGGAAGGACCCACGGTGTCTTGTCAATATGTTTATATTGATTATAAGTTGAAAGGATGGCTTTTATAATGGTTTAATTGAATACTAAAATTCCATTCATTTATTTTTAAGCCACGTTAATGTGGCTACTAGGAAATTATAAATTTCAGATGCGGCTCCCATCGTGTTCACTCTGCTGTCGTGTCCTGGCGCGTGTGGTTCCTTGTTGTATTTCTTGGAAATCACTGGTACGAATCTGATGAAAGGGCAATGGTTTGGAATTGAAGTGGTTGGGTTTGTATGAAGCTTTATTCTACAGTCAAGCCAGTGTTTAGAAGAAAACATTATTTGCTTTTCCATCTTTCTCCAGAAGACAAGGATTGCCTTTAGGTGCGGCACCGGGTTGGCCCCAGGGCCCCATGGGGGCTGCGCCTTGGCTTCTGGCCTGGCGTCTGTGTCCCATCCCCGGGCCGCGAGAAATGAAAGGTTGAAAAACTGGAAGATAATTTCTGGTCAGGGTGAGGTAGAGGGAGCAGCTCTGCAAGTTCTGCCCTTGGGGCTCTACGGGGTGGCCAGTGTGACTGTGTGTGTGTGTGGAGTGTGGCCGGGGTGAGTGTGAGTGTGGGTGTGAGAGTCCGGTGAGCTTAGTGTAGGGTGTGAATGTGGGATGTGGGTGTGTGGAGTGGGTGAGGTGAGTGTGGGGTATGAGTGTGAGGTGTGGGAAAGGTGACAGGTATGAGTGTGAGATGCGGGTGTGGGTGGGAGGTGGGCGTGGGGTGTGGGTGGGTGTGAGGCATGAAGTGTGGGTTTGTGGGGTGTGGGTGGGATATGTGTGTAAGTGGGTGTGAGGTAGATGTGGGGTGTGAGTGGGATGTAGGCATGAGTTTGCATAAGGTTAGGGGGTGTGGATGGGTATAGGTTGTGAGGGGGTGTGGGGTGTGGAATGTGGGTGTGAGTAGTGTGCAGTGCAGGTATGAGTGTAGTTGGATGTGAGTAGTATGTGGTGTGAATGGGTGTGAGTAGTGTGAGGTGTGGGTGGGCGTGAGTAGTGTGCGGTGTGAATGGGTGTGAGTAGTGTGCGGTGTGGGTGGGTGTGAGTAGTGTGCGGTGTGAATGGGTGTGAGTAGTGTGCGGTGTGGGTGGGTGTGAGTAGTGTGCGGTGTGAATGGGTGTGAGTAGTGTGCAGTGTGGGTGGGTGTGAGTAGTGTGCAGTGCAGGTATGAGTGTGGTTGGGTGTGAGTAG